GCGAAAAAATCCTTATGCAAAAGAAGCCCCTAGTTCTCCGGCCTCCTCCTAGTTAGTACTGAGAGTAGACACCAAGCCACTGTGACTTGAAATCTGGTAGCAACTACCCTGGCTTTAATTATTTTAAGAAAATTATCTAAAATCCTTTCCTTTCCCTGAGGAGACTGGTGAGGCCCCGCCTCCCTTGCCTCTAGTGACTGCACGTCCCTGTCAGAAAGACAATTCCCCTAGTCCTTGCTGGAGGGGTCACGTACTGAACTACAGTTATAGACTGCATGCAAAGGAGGCCTTCAATCTGTTAAACTCTGATCCTTCCAAGGAATAGCATTGTCCTGGCACATAAAATCCCCATCTGCCTAGCAGAATCTCCTTGGGCTGCTTCACAGGACATTCTGGAACAGCCTGATGATAACGCTTGGATCTCTTACAGTAGCTGGAGTTGAAACCACAAACCTTGCGGGTCTTTTTCTTGTGCTCCTCCGTTATGCCCTGATGATGTTTACTACCCTGGTAATGAAACATCTTGTAAGAAGACAAGCTCACTGAACACTAGGAATTCAACAATTAAACCCTGAGTCACATACATGTAACATCTTTTTTTCCTAATGAAACAATTAAAACATGCAACACTTATTACAACTTACTTGAGAATATGATACAGGTACAATAACAGGTAAAGCATTTGAGCTGGTAACTCTAGAGGGCATTAGGAATGGGGTTGAAAGACAAGAGGAATAGCTACTACTAAGGCAATGGTCAGTGGGGCCTGAGCCTGGATCAAGAGAATAATCTTAGAAAACATCTCAGACAAACCCACTCAAGTTCCCAGGAAGATAAAATGAGGGAGGAGAAAAGCATGTTCAGCCTTGCAATATTGTGTTGTTGTTATAGCCATTGCCTGACTGATATGGCATCAGCTTCTTAGCCTGGCTTACCTTTTAGGTAGACAGTTATTAATTAATTAAATAAATAAATCTGGATTCAAAATGGCCCTTAATAATTGAAGAGAAGGAAAATACCTTCCCATCTTCATTGGTTTCTAACCCAATCTTCTCCAGAAGATCTAACTGTGCTCTTGTGAAAGATAATTCCTATAGTAGGTTCTTGGAAATATCTGACTGACCTTCAGCATCATCCATGGTGCCCTTTGGTTTCTCCCAAGACCACATGGGTCAATTGCTCAAGAGGACAAAAAGAGGACAGGGTCTTTCCAGGCCAGCAAGCTCTATCAAAACTGGGAGTCACATATCCATCCTTAAAATGAGGGATACACATCTTTCTAGGAGCCTTGCTCTTGAAATTGTTAATATTGTTAATATTGTTAGCACAATATCATTTCTTAGGTCCTTCTATATATTTTTTAATGTTTGCATCGGCTTCGTCACTGTGGCTCTTTGTATCCTGTTTAGACTGAAGCGATATATAAATTTTATAAATGAATAAATTATGGAGAGTTGGAACTCTCATGCATGGGATATATTGCACATTCACAGCAGCTATTTCTAAAATACTAGCATTAACTGCTTATTTCACATTGAGATGAATTGCATGTAATTTCATTCTTTGGGTCAAACATTATTCACACATTTGCTCTGTGCAGCACTGAAATGTCAGCTTTCTCAATAATTTAAGCTCCCGTTGTGATAAATAGGGATAGGAATACTCGCTTAAAGAAAAATAAAGTTCTCCTGCCTCCAATAAATAGCTGGCATTTTTACAGAAACATCACTCTACATTAAGAACATTTTGCAGAGAGGAGGAAGGAAAAGACTGCAACATGCATGGAATTAGGGTTTGGCTACTGGAGGACATCCGTCCAGTTTAGCCTGCTGGCTTTTCGAGGTCAAACTGGATTCGCTACAGAGCTCTTTCAAGTCCATTAGACTTTCACTTATGGCTTTGACAAATTGGCTGGAAGAGGTCTCTCGACAATTTTTGAAGCTTGAAATGCAGAATAAGATATATTGGGACTGTGGATTGTAGCAAGCCCCATAGCCTTGAGGAATCACCGGCCCATAACAGCAGAACATCTCCATTGTGGTAGGAACCTAATTTTAAGTACAACAAAACAGGGTTAAGATAAGATGGCCAACTTAAGGCCTCCCGCCCACCACTATGGCGCTCTAGGGATACATCAACAATAAGCTGATTTTGGGATTGTCATTTTGACAGTGAAAGGAGGAGAAAATGGCTAAACCCATTCAGGATCAGCATCTTCAATTCATTGAACACATTTTAAAATATCAATTAAGCTCCAAGACAGAGACCAGACATAGTGCTTGGATTGTAAAATGTATAATTATTTGACCCATTCAAAATCACAAAACTGCATCTCACTTATTTTGAGGGATTCACTGCAGAAAGCAGTTATGTTTGGAAGATTTAGTTGTAAAAGGAAAGCAGGCTGCCAAAGAACACAGTGGCTGGACACCATCAAAGGTGACACCAGCCAGAGCATTCAACAACTCAAAGTAGTGCAGATGTCAGGGATCCAAATAACATCCCCAACAAAATAAGACTCCAAAGTTCCTCAAAGTTCAATTTTATTAGAGATGTCATATTGGCACATCTGGGAAAACCCGAATCTGAAAGCTTCCTGGTTTTCCCCATCCAATTGAAAGTTCATAATCTATGCCTCACACCCACATGTTCATCACATGGTCCAAATCAAAGCATCATCCCAACTGATTCGCAGGCTGGAGGCTAAAATGTAAGAAGAACAGTTGCAGGAACTGGGTATGTTTAGTTTAATGAAAAGAAGGACTAGGGGAGACATCATAGAACTGTACAAATATTTAAGGGGCTCCTAAAAAGATGAGGGGAGGGAGGGTCAAACTATTTTCCAAAGTGCCAAAAGGCAAGACAGGAAACAATGGATGGAATCTAACCAAGGAGAGAAGCAACCTGGAACTAAGGAGAAATTCCCTAACGGTGAGAGCAATCAACCTAGTGGAATGGCTTGTCTTCAGAAGTTGTGGATGCTCCATCACTGGAGGCTTTCAAAAAAGACTGGACAACCATTTATCTGAAATGGTATCAGCTCACCTGCTCAAGCAGGGGGTTGAACTAGAAGACCTCTGAGGTCTCTTCCAACTCTATTATTCTATGTTCTATGTGACCTCTTCACTGGTTCCACTCCACGATTTGACTGCCAAATTTTGGAATTATTTCAGGACCTTCTTAGGAGATGCTTTTGGTTTGGAAAACAAAAGCTATGAGTCCAGTTTACTTCATCCTAATGCATTTTGAATGATGATGATTGGGTGGATGGACAACCAAGCTGGCTATGCTTGTTCTTTTAATTGGATCATTTTATTATATATCTTCTGCAGTCTACAGTTGGCCAATCTAATCCAAAGGTAATCAGATTTTTGAGCACACCCTCTGCGAGTTCAGGGGAAGCCATTAGTCTTGAAATAACGTTATTCCTTTATTGTCAATTCTCTTTCATTGGTAACCTACTAATGTGAAACATAGTCATCTTCCCCTTACGGTCCCCTTACAGGGGACAGTTACTGAGTGTACATTTAAGAGTTGAGCTTATTCAAATCTCAGAGATTTATTATCTTGAAAAAGCCTCGGAGGCAGTAAATTTTGCAAGGAGCTATTTCTTATGGACCTCCGAGCCCTACGTCTGTCATTCTTTTCTTTTTTTCTCCCAGTTTGCTTTGAGTTTCAATATTGTTGCGGAATGCAAACCTTTCTTTAAAAGCAAAATGCTGGAGGTTAAGACATCCTTACGCTCCTGCCTTTGTTGTGTGCAGGCTTTCAAAAGTGGCATTTAGCTTTTAATGGCACAGGACAGGCCATTAGTCCCACTAACAGAGTTACAGAAGAAGCAGATAAATTTGCTGTATCCCAGTCAAAGGCCATCAAGCTATTTAGATTCTTTCCCCCCCCCTCCCCCATTTTTTTTAGACCCATGGATGGTTTCGTGGAGAATTTATGTAAGGATGGCTGGCTTACGCACAGTCGCATCTGAAAAAATCCCCAGACAGCATGATGAGATCAAATGATTTATTAGATTCCTGGTCTGCACTGTGCATTAGAAGCTTCCCTCTGACCATTTTGTGACAGGCAAAAAAAAAATCTGACCTTCTGTATCTCACGCAGAACACTGTGAATACAATGGTTGTTAACATAGTTTGGTGGGTTAAGACTGTGTGTGCACAGAAATGTTACACTTGCAGGGTGAGCAGCTCAAAGAATCCACAAATGAAATGATCTTGACTTGAGGAGCAAAGGGAGAGAGAGCAGTTTGGATCTTCATGCTTGGCAGGTCTTTGCAAACACTTGCAAGGAACACTTCATAACATTTGAAACCAGCCATGTGAGCGAAGGCTGAAAGAAACTAGCAATCCTTCTGATGAAGGATTCAATAAGAATGCATAACCTGGAGCCTCATTTGATAGAACATTGAGGTGGGGTGCTTGGAGCACTTGCTCCAAGCCATAAAATTAAGATTAAAAATAAATAAATTGAGAGAAAGAGAATTCTTAAATACCTGGCATCATTTCTTTATTTTATTCTTTTTATTAAATTACTTGTCTCCCACCTCAACTATGTTTACAAATAATTCAAAGTGGCAAACACATTTGATATACCTTCCTTCTCCTCTTATTTTCTCCACAACACCAATGAACCTGAGAGGTGAGTTGGCTTTCATGCCAACTATACGAAACTAAAACTCACCACCTTCTGGGGATTGGCCCAAAGTCACCCAGCTGGCTTTCATGGCTAAGGCAGGATCCAAACTCATGGACTCATAGTTTCTAGCCTGGTGTCTTAACCACTAGACCAAACTGACCTTCATATTAAGGATATTGAATCAAATTAATTTTAATTTACTTTTAATTAAATATATTTATAAATTCTGTTCAGTTTGGTTCTTTTCTCAGTTCTTCCCACTGTTCTGCCTGCTTGGCATATCACTTAAAGATTAAGCATGACCCTTTGACAGAATAATAGTTTATATTTCTGGTTATATTTTGCTTGAATGTCTCTCAATCAGCTTTGATCCACCTTTTGGGGAAGAGAACATGGATTTACCATATTTTTGGAGTATAAGACGGATCCTTTTCTCTCAAAAAGAGGCTGAAAACCTGGGTGCATCTTATACACTGAGTACAGCATTTTTGGCTTCCCGAAACCCTGCCCCGTTCACCAAAATGGCCATGCATAGCCTTTAGAGGCTTCCAAGGTGATCCTGGGGGCTGGGGAGCGATGAGTGAAAATGGGCCACTTTTGCTCATTTTGGGCCCCCCAGCCTCCAGCAACATTCTATAAGCCTCCTAAAGGATATTTATGCCCTTTTTGTGAGCAAAAATGGGCCCATTTTGCGAAAACTGGACCATGTTTTGCTTGTTTTTGCCCCCCTAGCCCCCAGAAGCACTCTATAAGCCTCCTAAAGACTATTCATGCCCTTTTTTGATAAATAAATTGGCCCGTTTTTGTGAAAAACTGGCCATTTTGGGGAGGTCTGCAGAGTGCAAAAACTTTTTTTTTTAATTTTGCCTCTTCAAAATCTTGGTGTGTCATATACTCCAGAAAATACAGTACTTAAAGTAGTGTTTACCCTTTGTTAATTTATTCCTTATCCATGTTCATTGCCCAAACAGACAGCCGTTGGCTATTCATTTCTCTTGTCAAAAGCACAAGAAGTGGAAAGTCATAACATTTTAAAGAGTTGTTGAGTCTCAGAAAGTCTTTACCGGGTTCATCTCAAGTTGTCACTGATTCATAAGGACTGTCACAGTGAGAATAATGGAGATTCCTTCCTCTGATTAATCCCAGGAAAATTTCACTCACCTGGCTGGTGGAGAGAACAAATCGATTGCTTGCCAAATAAGTTTCATCAGTAAAGAAGTCTGGCAGTTCTTCGAAGTTTTCTCTGGCCGTCTCTCGCAGTCCCAATAAATGGTTGTCGATAGCCATGCCTGTAATAGCCTGTGCCCCAAACAGGAGAAAGGAGGCAGAATCAATCATTGCAGCAAGACATCAGCCTATCAATTTCTACTTTGGGATTTAATACAAAACTATTTCCATTTTGAGAAAACAGACTAGCAGAGTTGGAAGAGAGGTCTACTAGTCCAACCACCTGCTCAGGCAGGAAGTCCTATACCATTTCAGACAAACGGTTGCCTAATTCCTTCTCAAAAACTTCCAGTGATGGATCCCCACGACGTCTGGAGGCTAGTCGTTCCACTGGTTGATTGAAAGGCTGCTATGATGTCAGCCCAGTCCTCCTTTTCATAAAACTAGACACACCCAACTTGTGCAACTGTTCTTCATATGTTCTAGCCTCCAGCCCCCTAATCATCTTTGTGGCTCTTCATTTTTACTCTGTGGACTCTGTGGCAATGTTCAGCTGGATATTCCTACTTCTAAAGAAGTGGAAAGTCAAGAAGGACATAATCCTAGCCTTGCTGTTTGAAGGAGCTCTACTGAACTCAATGAGATAAAGTAAAGAGGAGAAAGGATGACCTTGAAAGAGATAAGCAGGATTTGTTGAGGATGGAGCTTTTTTAAAAAGAGGATGGAGCTTTTTTAAAAAGTGAAATAACATTCAGAAATGGTTCGGGCATAATCAGAGTTGCAAAATTTTGTTATCAGAATCAGTCTCAACAAAACAAAATGCTAATTATCCTATAGATTTGATTTCCTGGTCTGGTCTACCAAATGGAGCTGACAGACACACCTCAGAATTTCTCCAGTCTGTTTAGTCCTGGATTGGATTGAGCCAGTCAAGAATCTTATTTGTTCACCAGTACTGTTTCCCGGATTTGCTATTGTTCTTATTTTATCCTATATTTTTAATTCTATATTTTAATGCTTTATGTAAATTTGTATGATTAATCTTGTATCTCCCTTCTAGGATTTTTATCATTTTTATCATAAAAGCAAAATGTGTTCAATAAATTTATAGGGTGGTAATATTAAACTACTTTCATTAATGTTTACAATAGTGTGTCTAGAAACTTTGCAATGCCAAGTAAATTGTACATTGACTTAGGACAATTTTTCCCAAACTGCAAAAGGGAGGATGACAATGAAAGACATGGAGCTTAACATGTTTATGGGTATAATGTGGGGGTTCTTTATTTAAAAGACTAAAATTTTCCTTCCAAAAATTAAAAAAAAAAAAACCAACAGCCACATTTTCACTGCTACAATCTAACAATTTCATTCATTCTTCAAAGCTTTGATTCAACAATTACTCCAAGAAAAGAATCAAGAACTGTCCATTGATCTTTAGGAAAGCAAAAAACCAGTTGGCCTGTCTGACATCAGAATGAGTGCAAGGCAAGGTGATCAAACTGAGGTCACCATGGTTTCCTCCCATCACAAGAAATGGATTGGAGGATCAATGAAAATATTTTCCTATCTAGTGTGATTTATAAGGCTATAAGCGCTAACATCCTTCCAAAGTAGATTAATGTCCTATCTGAAGAGAAAGAAGCCGCTGTGTCCTAACACAATAAAGGAGGTGCCAACACATTCTTCAGAAGTATTGGGGGGGGGGGGAGAAGAGAAAAACTTAAATTATTTTTGCTAAGGGTACAAAGTTTAATTTATCACAATCCTTTGCTGAGCAAAGAATAATGAAACAATCTAGGCTATCTAGGCTACACCTGGAAGAATTGCTTCTGGAATAAAGATTGTGAAGGAAAGATCTCAAGAACTTGGAAAGAGCCATGCTGGATTTGGCTCTAGATCCAATTAATGCAGCATTCACTTGGGAAACAGATGAGGTGGAGAATATACATGCCAGGAGTTACTGCTAACTGTGATGGAATCATGGCCAGATCTTAAAACACATGGAAAATGGAGCCACGTCATTACAGAGCAACACATCCAGAGGTGGTATTCAGCTGGTTCTTACTGGTTTGGGCAAACCAGTAGCGGCAGCTGCTGGATGCTCCTCCCGCCCACCCAAATGTAATGTGCGACCTTCTCCGCATGCGATCACATTTGCAAACCGGTAGCGAAGGTAAGTGAATCCCACCACTGAATACATCCCTAATAGAGGAATAGAATCAAGATTACCACTTTATAATGCCTTGGTAGCACCACATGTGGACTATTGCATCCAGTTTTGATCACCACGATATAAAAATATGTTTAGAGTCTAGAAAGTCTGCAGAAAGATAGGAGCAAAGATAATTAGGGGACTGGAGGCTAAAACATATGAAGAACAGTTGCAAGAATAGGGTATGTTTAAGGAGTAGGGGGAACATGATAGCAGTCTTCTTATAACTGAGGGGCTGCCACAAAGAAGAGAGTGTCAAGTTACTCTTCAAAGCACCTGAAGGCAGGACAAGAAGAAACAGACAGAAACAGAAGCATCCGAGAACTAAAGAGAAATTTCTTGACAGGGAGAGCAATTAATCAGTGGAACTACTAGCCTCAATTAATCAGTGGAACTACTGGCCTCAATTAATCAGTGGAACTACTGGCCTCAAGAAGTTGTGGGTGTTCCATCACTGGAGGTTTCAAGAAGATATTTGACAGCCATTGGAATGGGCTGTTACAGAGAAAATTACTTAGTTCCGGGGATGAGGAAGAGGAGCTTAGGGACTCAAGCTTATGCTAGGTATAAACTGATTTGGGGAATCTTTGGCAGGCTTTTAAAATTCTATTCTTTTGCCCTAACTAATGATAAAAATTCTTCCAGAAATTCAAGCCTTACAGGATTCAACATTTGCTTTTCTTATTGGAATTATAGATGGTTTCTTGGTCTCAAAATGACTTCAACATACAGAGATTTCTGTAGCAACCAAAATGAACAAACATATTGTT